GTATGTGTGTGCGTGTGTTTGTGTGTATTCTTTTTGGCGGTTGTCGGCTTCCGTTTCATTCTCTCGCTCACTTCGCGTTTCTAGCCGGTGGAATTAAACGTTTTACGCGGGAGGATTTTCGCGTGGCGTTGTTACGTACACCACTGTTCCTTTTTTTCCTGTTCCTTGTTTCTCTTTTTCTTGCTTTGCTGGATAACAACTGTCGGTTTTCGTATAATGCATTTCGTCGGATCGTTCGTTCGGTCGATTTTTTTTTTCTTTTTTTTTTTTTTTTAAAGCTCAGAGAGATGATTTGCACGGAGAGTGGCTCCGAGATTTTTATCCCGGGACTTCCGTTGGAATACACTTTAAAAGCGCTTTGGAAATTTAACGTTCGGAAATTAAAAATCGCGGGCTGAAGAAAGAGGGGTGTATTGCGTGAGCGATTTTGTTAATGGAACATAAAATATTGATGTTTTTTTCATTCGTTGGGTGATCGTCCCGTTGCTGTTCGCCTTTCTCGTGATTCTGTTTAATTAATTCTATCTTGTTTATCTCGTTTGCAGGTTACATTGAGAAGTCTAGGAGGAAAAAATTATTCTTTGGAAGAATGGCTTTTACAATTAACCTTAACAGTAGGAATTTTAGACTTATTAACGAACTGGTGAGAATTATCATTTCCACCAAGAAACTTAGTAAATTAGAAACTGCAAAAAATTTCGAGATGATTCAATACTATATAATACCCACGAATGGCACACTGCGACAGTGTGCAAGAAGAATAATCATGCAATTACAAAAACGCAATTATTAATTGCAATTATGTGAAACGTGATAATAATGATATTTGCAAATATGTAGAAAATATTTTCTACAAATGTGTAGAAAAATCTGGCCCGCCATCGAATCCCCATCGTTACATAAAATTGTGCCTAATCTGGGAATTCGAAGAAACAAGTTCAATGTCAAAAATGAGGGAAACCGAACGACAATTAAGAAACGAATGAGAAAATAGCATGTACGTTATATACGAGGGAACAGAAGTAGAAGCAACGTACGTGCACACGTTTCAACATACTGAAACATAATTGCACGTCGTCATAGTACTCGACCAAACGCGCTCGAGTCTGGTTAAACATAGTATCAATTCACGTAGCAGGCGGGTACAATTATGTCATTACCCACTGTCGATGTTTAATCTTGCTAGCTAATCGAATCGATCCGTAATCGAGTCTTTCCTCCCCCGTTGCCCCGCTTCCGGCCAGAAGCTCGCGCCAAACATTCCATGAGAAATTCGTGCGAATCATCAATGAATCTCTCTCTCTCTCTCTCTCTCTCTCTCTCTCTCTCTCTCTCTCTCTCTCTTTCTCTCTCTCTCTCGCTCCTCTAATTGACTATTGCCGAATCATTGTTGAAAGTGGAATTAGAAAAGAAAAAGAGGAACTAATGGAATGTGAAGAAATAAAAAAACGGCAGGGGCTCGGTTAATTAGATATCAACTAAAATTTCAGTCCATGGAGTTTCGTTGCATTGAAAAATACATAGAATATCCAAAGTTAAATTTTCTTTTCTTTTCTTTTATTTTATATTATAATATTTTATATTATATTATTTATATTATAATATAATATTATATTATATTATTTATATTATAATATTATATTATATTATATTATATTTTATATTATATTATTTATATTATAATATTTTATTTTTTATATTTTTATATTCTCCAAATTTTACGATATTTAACGTTAACGTTCAATTCCTTTAATTCTATTCGTACAAATAAATACCTACTCGAGTACAAGTTATAAGTAGACTGTATAAATTTATATAATGCAAAAATATATAAAACATCCAGCAAGTGAAGTTAGCCGTTAACTCTCAATTAATAAAATCAATCCAAGTTTCGTTCTAATCCAATCTTAGGAGCTTTGTTTCTCAATCCAATCCGATCTATAATTCCGAGAATCGACGTTTGCTGAAGTCTCGACGAAAGTCGTGAATTCTCGACCGTGAAAAGACCGGCCTCGAGAATGCCGAAAATTCAATTTACCGCGTTGTCCATACATATTCAATCCTCTCGACACGTCTCGAAACTCGATCACTCGTCATAAACGATTCACTTTGAAAATTCCCCGCATTACAGCGCGGAGGAGTGATTCATTCGTAACGAGTCAATAACACCGGCGCTTCGTCAAATATTTATGTTGATTCGTTACGCAATGGAACGCGATCGCGGCACGCTGATCGCAGAAAGAACCTCGGAATAATAACGAGCACCGGGGAATAAAAGCGGAGAGGCGGGGAGAAAGAAAGGGAAGCGCGAGAGCGGCGACGCCACGGTTATTAATCACGCGGGCCCGGCAATCAAATGTATGTAAATATAATCAAACAATGTAATGGCTGTTTCGCCTCATGAAATATTTATCACGTTTCGACGTTCAGCACCTGTGGCGAACGGGTGTAATTAAGTTGTCGGACATTCGCCACGCGTCACGGACAGTTTTTTCCATTTCCGTTTTTGCGAGAAACCTGGCGCTCGATTTTCTTTCGAAAGCCGAAAACGAAAGCTGGACAACGCAGTTCGCCGCGGTTCTGGGATTTTTCATCTGACAATCGCGAATTTTAAGTTAACGGCAGGTATGTCTGTGCACAATTTGAATTCGTTTGTGTCTAAATTTCACTCGTAACTTTCCTCGAGATGATAAATTTTTATCTTTGCCGATTGTTCGATTCGAGAGCCAATTGCGTATCAAAGTAGAGACTTCGAGAGGAGAGAATTTTTATCCCGAAATTTATTCAGATCTTTTTTAAAAAAGTCGAAAATAGTGAAAAAAGAATTGCGTTAATGCAATATTTCATTTGCAATTCGTTTCAAATCTCGCTCGTTAATATTGCTGTGAAGAATTGTAAGGATCTGATATTTTTTTCATTGTTTGTTGTCTATTTAGATTTTGTAATTTTTATTAAAATTTTTAAAATAATCGAAGCATCTATAATATTGTGACAAATTGTTGCTTAACAATTAACCCTTAACGGGGTTGAAATCAGAGATTTCGTGATTCGAAGTGACGGGGAAACTCGCACACCGACACGCAGATTTTGATGAAATTTATACGGGTGACAGTTCTCAATGAAACATTTCACACATATGTTTTTTCTCGACGATGATACAAATCGACAGGTAATCATTCTACACGCGGACAAAGTAAAATCAAGCTTTTTTGTTTAAGCAGAGTTGGAAACGCGACAGAGTTTTCTCACGATAAATTAAATACAAACGAACGATAAAATAAATCGTGTTACTTTTTAAAATATGTGTCCAAGTGTAATTAACGTGAAATTCAAACTGACATGTAATCAAACTTTACGCTAATTGAATCTAGATCCAAAGAGTGACAGTATTGCAAGTTTTTACATCCAACTAAGTTCAATTACAATGTAAAATTTAACTAATCAGAAGCCAATGCTATTAAATTTACAACAAACGTCCTATTTTTCAAAAAACGTGGTCAAATATATATATATATATACTTCCAACGAAACTGTTTTAAACGTTTTGAACGTTCGAAAAAAGAAAAATGCAGCCCAATAAAATATTCGCTACAAAAAAAAAAAGAGAAATACTGCTCTCAAATTTAAGGAACGTATAAACCACACGCAGAAACCATCCACGCACATGGGACCGCATAAACTATCGTGATTCACTGTATTGCACGTACCTACTTCGACACGTTCGATCGGATATTCCACAGAGACAGATGATAGGGATCAATGACAGAGTTGTGCACGTGTGCGGACTATTCGCACACGGGTGCAATTCTCAAGGACACGAAGGTAGTGGTGTACAAGGTGAAAGAGGGTAGAAGAGAGAGAGAGAGAGAGAGAGAGAGAGAGAGAAGAGAAAGAGGAAGCAGGACATTTACTAGAAAACGGGGTGAACCGTCGAACTGCAGGTGTGTGTCCTGGTGTTGACGTATTCGCAAAGCTCGTCGGTACACAAAAGTCGACCCATTTTCCATCCTTCCCAACCTTTCCACCCTTTCGAACCTTCCGTCCTCCTCTTCACGGCTGATGCACCCCCCTCTCTCTCTCTCTCTCTCTCTTTCTCTCTTCTTTTTTTTTTCGTTGGTTCGTTCGCCTACCTACTACCCACCGCCACGAGCCGTCACACTTGTTGCACGACAGAAAGGGAGAGGAAGGGATCGAGGGAGGGTGCGACAGAGAAAAGAGAGTGGAAGGTGTGTAAGGCCGTGTATATAAACGACGTCCGCAAGCACCCCCGCCGATTGATATCGAACTGATATTCAACTCTCGTCTGTGTGCGAGAGTTCGCAGTTTCAACCTATTCTGGAAATTGTTGGACGACTGTTCATTGTCAAGGTTCGCCGCCCCTAACCTTCCAACCTCTTTCGCCCCGGTGAATCGCCGCGGTTCGCGTTGCATCTGGTGGATTTTCATTCGACGTCTGTTGGTTAATTTGTAGCGCTGTTGGATGACGAAACGCGGCCTGACAATATTGAATCAGTGCAAACACCGAGTTAGCAACGGTCCACATAAAAGTGGACTGTGAATAGTCAGTCATAAGGGCAAGGTCCTTGTATATTAATTTGGATTATCATTGTCTCCAAGCATAGATAACCAACTACTGGATCTTGCCCTTATAACTAACTATTCAACCGTTCACTTTAATGTGGACTAACTCAATGTTTGTACTGATTCAATACTGTCAGGCCGGTTTGGTCACCCAACAACGTATCTCAATACAAATATGCTTGTCACAAATATGCTTCCAAAAATTGTAGAATGTTCTAGCGCTCTTTTCCAAATAGAAAAGAACTTGATGTGAATTCACTGTGCCTTTGAAAAATTTATAATTTTCTATACACATATTCTTCTATTACCGCGGACGGTTCGCGAAACGAGGGAAAGAAAGGAGGCAGCAGCAAGAGGACAGAAATAAAAGCTGATGCGTGTAGATACATACATAAATACATGGACACGCGTGTACTTACATACTCGCCAGAGAAGAAACGTCCCGGCCGGCGCTTCTCGGCCCCGTTTGACGGCCAAATCGAGCAGCAAGAGACGCGGAGGCAGCGGCACGTGCTTGCCTCTCCCGCATCATCGCCAACCACGTCGCAGGAATGTGGTCTGCAAACACACAGGTTAAGGGACTCGTGTGAGTCGAGCTCGTAAATAACTCAACGATCGTAATCGTCGGGTTCCGCGTGTACGTTCGCTAAACGTTGGTCGTGTGTGCCCTCGAGGCGAACGTATGTATGCGCGTGTGTGAGACGCGCGGTTTCGTTTAACCGGGCGTAAGAAATCACTCGAGGGCCTCGCGCACACGCTCGTTCTCGCTGCTTTAGCTTTGAGGAGTTGCGGAAGGTAATGGAGCCGCGTCATCGAGCGTCACGTCCCACGGATTCCTCCCTTTACTGCATTCTCGATCGCCGTGAAACGCGTCACGGATCGTTCCGCGTCTTCGCGGCGGTTTACGTAACTCGCGCTCGTATTCTTGGTTTCGTCGCGCACGATCGTAGCGACAGGATCCAAGCGGGGATAATTGGAGTTTCCTTCACCGATTTCTACCGCAATTTTCATTTCTGGACCGGTATGAACACGTATATCGCTGAAGTTATGACCGAGCGTGTGTTTGACGTTGTTTGTAAAATCATTAAATCACATTCAATAACACGCAGGGTGTTCTCGTATTTTTTAAATCATTTCGAGTTTTAAAATTGTCTTTCTTTGAAATCGCGTTTTCTGGTATGTCAATTTATCTCGATTTGGCAAAATTTATCAAAAAAGAAAAAAAGAAAAACATGTAATTCTGAAACAAAAACACTCTGTATCCTCAAACTACTTGTTATACTCCAGAATAGTCTAGAAATTGAAACTGTGATTCATAATCGCACCTCATTTTCGTACGATCCTTCTGTTTATCCTCGAATTTCAAAACTCCTCTGCCCATAGCGCTACACGATCCATCCACGAAACATCAATCTACGACAAAACCCCCAGAGTCCTTCTAAATTTTTAGATCTGGAGTCCTACGCCAACACCCTTAGCGATCTCTCAACCCCGGCCTTGAACTTGAAATCCCTCGATCCACATTGCAGCACATCGCGATAAAGCAACCCCATCTTATCGAAGATAACCCAGTGTCCTCTTTAGGTGTACGTACTCTCGCAGCAGGAAGCACACGGTGAACCGTGTTCGTTCCATCTGGATGGATTCGCGATGTTTGCAAACGCGAGCAGAAAGGATGAGGCAGACCTAGACTCTCTCTTTCTCCCTCTCCCTCTACCTCTGTTTCCTCTTCAGGCCGAGTAACCGGAGGGATGAACCCGAGGTTAGACAAAGAGGAAGAGAAAGAGGAATGTCTGAGCAAAGAGGGATTCGTGGAACGGCAAGAGAGTACACCGGGCTACGAAAGCACGACAAGGAGGAAGAGGAGGTGAAGGAGGAGATGGAGAATCGTGGGAGGATGAGGCGAAGGAGTACGGGGGCCAGAAGGCGTGCAGTTAGACGCGGAACGGAACTGGAACGGAGCAGAAATGTTATCATAAGCGTAGTGAACTTGACCCACTCCATGGAGTGGGCTCCTACAACCACCACCACCACCACCACCACCACCACGATGATATGAAGTTACGGGCCGCTCGTGCGAACCCGTAACACGATAACAGCTGTTGCATACCTCTCGATTCGCGGGACAGCAAAAGTTTCGACGATCGCGTGCCACTCTCACGTACACACACTGTCGCGCACGTGTACAGGCTGAGTCACATAACTCGTCCACGCCGAGTAATCTTTGGAATTGTACGCGTCGGAGAAAGAAAAAAGTACGTTGCGTAGGAAAATTGCAGGGTGTAGTATTAAGGGAAAATAAACGACGCTTGAACGATTCTTTTCAAACGAATAATTTGTTTAACCTCTTGCGCTGGAATAACGTGCCATGCATGTCTAGAATTCTTTGCAAAAATCTGCAATATTTCCTCAGTTTTAAGTATATTTAAGTATAACCCAGGCAAAACAAATGATAAATTTTTATTACTACTTCGCAATAATTTCTATTCCATTGATATCATACCGACGAGTACAAAAAGGAAGCGACGATATTATTGTATACGGTACGGTCACTCGTTATGGTCCGCAATCAGTTGCCAGCGCAAGAAAGAAATGTTTGCAATTTTCGTGCATACTGTCACTCAAAAATACGCAGACACTTTAACTCCACACGACTATCTAAGGTCTAACAAATAAATTTTGTGTACTGCTACAGTTTATACACGACTATAGAGAACAAGTTTTATCAATAATTCATAAATTATCTCGTTAGTAATAATAAAAAGCATTTGTATAGTGTATAGTAGATCTCTATAGTTAAAAGGAATCTAACTAGTCTAACAGGTAGCACTGTTTATTCTCAACAAATCTTCAGTCATACTATTACTAAAATATTGTATCATGGCAGAATAACTTCCACGTATTTAGCTTTCTAATAATGTTTGATATATACCAGATAAATATTAAACTATCCAGTATCAGAATGCATTTGTAATCCAATATTTATAATCTAATACATACATCATAAAGTGCACATCATACATAGATTTCATAAAAATGACAAGTGCTTACATAATGTTGAGCGGTGCACGGGTATATCTGAAGTTACTCCGAATGGACAAGTTACGTGACTCACCCTGTACAGGTACGTATGTATGTGCAAACGTAGACGCATACATAGAGAGAGAGTCGACATTTCTGCTCTCCCTCTCGTTCTGATTCTCTCTCCCATTTCCCCTTAATCTCTTTCTCTCTCTCCTGATTTTTTTCTTTTTTACTCTCTTTCTCTTTCCACGTCACGCTTTCTCCGGCTTTTTTCCCTACCCAACACGTTCGCGTACATACGCGCGAGAGAGAGACACTTCGCTATATACGGCCAACATCCAGGTATTCCATCCACGTCGATCACACGAGAAATCGCACGTGCCTCGCAAGGATCATCCGCCACAGGGGGAGAAAAAGTTGTTGGTTCTCGAACAGCCGCGGCTAAATCTTGACACGCCTAACCTGGAGAAACGCGGAGATACCCGCTTCGACGCGCGACGAACGTGTCACACGGGCGGCGCCTCGATTTGTCTCAATTTGTCGCTTAGTCGCGGATTTGTTCGGTAGGTTAATTGGAGCCTGAGCTGCGCTGAAAACTGTTTCAAAATATCGATTGTCGGCTGGTGTCGTTCGATATCTGAAGCATGGGATACTGGCGGATTTTTGTTTAGAGAGAGTGACGATTTCCTTGGATCTACCATGAACATAGCTTAGATTCTTTCTTTTTTTTTTTATCTGTTTTGTCTCGAGATCATCTCGAGAGCTTTGACAAGACTGAACAACTTTCATCTGAATTCACGGTCGATTTGAATCGTCTCGGCCAATCTTAGAGACGAGAGAAATTTTCTTCGGGTTTTAATCGCTTTGGAAGAGAGTTCAAGAGACAGAGAGAAAGAGAGAGAGAGAGCGTTTGATGAGAGAAATTTATTGGCTATTGGAGGAGAAGTTGTCCGAGGAAGATCTGATTTACAAAAATTGTTATCCTTCCATCTCAGACGGAGAGAAGAATGGCCTGGAATTGCACGTGAAGCGTAACAACCTGTTCGATGCCTGTAGGAAACTTAACGTCAACGACACGACTCATTCTACGATCGCCTGCGGGGGGAAAGGGAGCGAAAGGTGGAAGACAGATTGAGATCGCCGAACGGGTAAAAAAGTAAAAGTGAAACTGCTGGACTCAACGAGACCGACCTCCGGGGGGTCTGAGACGAGACTCGGGCTCTCCTTTAAAGAAGAAGGACGACGGGAGAGAACGATATTTCAATAAGACATCGATCGCTCATTAGTAACACGAGAACGATTCCCCTTTCTTTCTTTTGTACTCTACAATCACCACCGCGTACACCCCCGCCCAAAAGTCTTGGAACGAGATTATATATCTATTTCGAAATTAGAGAAAATTAAACAACAATTGTACGACGAGGAATTCGTGAAGTGTCAACGCGTCAAATGCGCAACTAAGAAATTTTATTTGCAATGAAATATTATAATCGAACATTAACCCCTTGCGCTGGCAACTGGTTCGCGGACCATAACGAGTGACTGGACCGTATACAATAATACAGTAATTCGTCGCTTTCTTTTTGAACACGGGGCTGGAATAATATCACTAAATAGAAATTACTAAGAAGTAATAAATTAAAATTTATTATTTATAGAAGTAATAAATTAAAATTTATTATTTATATTGCTGGGTAATACTTAAATATACTTGAAAATTGAGAAAACATTACAATTTTGAGGACAAAAAATTCTCGATGTGCGTCATTCCAGCGCAAGATTAAGAAGAGGAATTATCCCGAGATTTTTGAGCAAGAGTGTATGTAAAGAGCCAGACTTCTTTATCGTTCAACGAGCTTCTTAAATCCCTTTCGTCTCGTTTCCCTCCTTTCAATCACGATAAACTTGACCCAGTGAGGAAACAAATCGGACCAACTTCTACTAAATCGAAACCAGATTCTCCGCATGCGGTAGACGTGTACGTTCGTAAGGGAAAAAAAGAGGAAAAGTTCTCGTTTGCGAATTTGCAAGATGACGTTCCATACGGAGGAGTAGCAAGAGGAATGAGAAAGCAGTGGTCAGACCTGAGTCCGCGTAATTACGCGTGATACATATTGAATTGGAATTAAACTGTGCGCTCGTTGAACAATTTATTTATAACAATTATTAATCCCCGTAATCATATCTTAAATTACAACTACATTTAATCATCCCTTGATGATATTATATTTAATCTATTTTAACCTCTTGCGCTGCAATGACGTTTTGTGTCCCAAAATTGCAATATTTTCTCAGTTTTTACCCGGGATTATCCACGTGAGGGTCCAGTCGCCGGGATGTACCTGTGCTAGACACCCAGGTGGGTAATCCCGGGTTAAGTATATTTAAGTGCAACCCAGGCAAAACAAATAATAAACTTATTATTACTTCTCAAAAGTTCAAAAAAAAAAGCGACGATGTTGTTGTATACAGTACGATCACTCGTTATGGTCCGCAATCAGTTGCCAGCGCAAGCGGTTAAAGCTGTTTAATCC